CATTGTGCTTATGTCTATTAGATTATTTGAATAAAAATCGTCAGAAAAATCGCACCAACTAACTGAATGTGCAACCGAAAGATAGGTTTGCGCAAATTTTGTACAAAATGGCTTTTGTAAAGTATATTTTTTTAAATGGAACACCCTGTGTATTAGAAGTTGTATTAGATAGCACATTTCTTTCTGATTGTAAAAATATATCACACATGCCCTTTTTTATAATTAGTTCTACATAAATTTGAGATATATAAACGTGTAAATATACCGGGTACGTCTCGAAAGTGGCTCACCAATTATTCAATGGTTTTTGGTCACTTCCTGTTTCACCGAAAATGACTACAACTTGTGATATTTAAATAGCACCCTCGATATATGAAAGAAATTACACTCTGATATATTAAATCACACTGATATATGATAGAAAATGACACTCTGCTTTTCTTTCACATTTTCGCTTAAAAAATCGTATTTTAAATTCCAATCTAGAGTGCCATGGCTGTGTTAAATACACTAATTTTTAATCAAGAAGTCTTGGAAAATAGATTTCATTGTCTAATGTTTCTCGTGTCTTGCTCTGGCTGATTAAAAGATGTCCAAATTGTATTTTTAATCATATCTCAATTTTTTCAAATTGAACCAGGGTGAAAAGGATTTTTTACGAATAATTTGATACCAGACACTTGGTATTTTGAGCCAAACCAAACCATATGCGAAAATGTCAAAAGTTGACATACGACATGTCATTCATAGTGTCATTTTCTATCGAGTAAAATAACAAAATACCGGGGGTGCCATTTAAAAATCAAAAGTTTTAGTCATTTCTGGTGAATCAGGAAGTGACCGAAAACAATTGAATACGTCAATTAATCCTAATTTATGTAATATATACTAGGGTCGTTTTTTTTCGTAATATATACTAGGGTCGTCTATCTCGTTTTTTTATCTGAAAAAATATAGTTATAGGGGTTTATTTTATTAACGAAGTTATAGGGGTGAACCACTTTTGAGATGCACCTGGTACATTCTTAAATTCAGAAACAAATGCTCCCAATACACAGGGTTTTATATTTAAAAAAAAGTAGTTTATATCAATTAGTGCGTCATTTAACTGATATAACCAAAAACCCTTTAATGTGCTTTTTAATGAGCTATCTAACAAAAAATAATAAAGTTAGGTCTTGTTATAAGTGGAATGAAATAAAATGCATTGATGAAATGCTACATTTGAAAAAGTGATTACTTTTAGAACTCCCCCCGGTAAACTATATTAAAATTTTAACGATTGGACACCGGCCAAGCGTCAAAAAAAATCCGTCTACGGTCCTTCGAACGCGATGACCGGTTTCAAGCACCGGCCGGCAATACTACTGCTGGAAAGGTCGGTACTTTCGCCAATCCCGGCCTATAGGCAACCTAAAATATAAAAGGTGAACAGCCAAGGCGCTGATGTCATCCTATTTTAAGCGACTGATATCACAGAATTACCTCATATTCGTGGAACCACCGTATGCAATCGGCCCGACGTTTCGCGCGGTGGTACCCACCAAGGACGAGCAGTACCGAATAATTGTTTTTCGCTTTTTCGTCAGTTTGCGTTTAAGCGTGACATTAGCACGATTATCCTTACGGGTACTGTTAAATTCGTACACTTTTCAGTGTTTACACTGTTTACCAAGTGTTTTGTTTGTGTTTAACGCACCGCGTTTATTTGTGTAGATAAATTAGAGAGATTTTTAGGTTACATTACTTTTTTTGGTAGAAATATGCGGAAAATTGAGAGAAATGCCGGTTACTGTGGATAAGAATAGGAAAAAATCCGCTGAAAAAGACATTGTAAGTGCAGAAAGTGGACTTCCTGTATGTTGATTTCATGGATTTAAACTTAAATACCGATTTTAAGGATTAAAAAAATGTTGCGCATAATGTTGATGCAACTACCGGCAAAAGTTGTGTATCAGAGCGAAAATATAAACAATCGGTTCCTTTACATACCGGTCACCATAACAGACACACCCATTTTTATTTGTTGCTTTTTTGTTTATTAATAAATTAAGAATCTACCCCTTAATCTATAATATATTATGATCTATAAACATATTTAATTTTAAATTAATCTGGAAAAGACAATTGAAAAATGTTATCATTTGATGTTTGATTATGTTGTAATATTAAGAAAAATGTCTAATTTGTTTATTTAACTGTCAGTACTTATCTTTAACGTATAATATCGGTTGCATTGTCGTATATCTTGAGATAACCAAACTATTTTAGGTTTTAGAAAATCAATATTATTGATATCATGATTTTTTTTCAAACTGTTTTACTAACGAGTAACTGATAAACTATTTTATATACAGAGTGAGTCTTAAATAAATGTAAATATTTTAGGGGTGGTGTATTTCGATCGCAGAAACACGTCTATGATTTTTTTTTCGCAAAAAATATGTAGAAAATCGTGTATTTTCTTTTAAATTTTCCTGTATATTTTAGAAAACTTCTTAGGACTGCCTGTTCACTGCAAATTTTCCCACGGTAAAATTTCTTAATCTCTGATATTACTATAGGTTACGGCACTAGAAGGGATGCAAATACAGAAAAAATCCGGTGGCTTTCAAATTTTTTTAGAAATAAATCATTTTTTTAATTTTCAAACTTGAATAACTCGGTTATTTTGGACTTATTTGAAAAACGTTAAAGAGAAAATCTGTTTCTTTTACCGAGATCTACCAGCCCTGAAAATATCTGTACTTATTTAAGACTCATCCTGTATATAATTTTTTTAAAAATAAATATCACTGATATAATGATTTTTTTTGTATTATTAAGTTATTTATATTTTTTTTTCAATAATTATTAATATAATGACCCTTTTTCATGTTTCTTTAATATTATTTGAATCCTGCAAAATAGTTTGTATTTCAGGATTAAATTCTATAACTAACCTAGGTACCTCTTTTTCTATGAAGTAAACTTCTAAATATACACTGAAAATTCCAAAATGATGATTAAAAAGTCTTATTGTTTGATGTTTGATGGTGTTGAAAGATTTAAAAAAAATATTATCGATATTTGTTATTAACGTTGTAATAACGATTATAGTGGCAATATTATACAGGGTGAGTCTTAAATAAGTGCAAATATTTTCAGAGCTGGTAGATCTCGATAGAAGATACATTTTTTCTCTTTACCGTTTTTGAAATAAGTCCAAAATAACCGAGTAATAACTCGGTTATTTTTTGGAAAATTTCCAAAAAAAATATTTTTAGAACTAAATTTAGAATTAAATTTTGAGAACCACCATCTTTTCTGGGGTTTCATTCTTGTTTTTTAACTAAAAATTTCCAAAAATTTTTTTAAAAAAAATCCAAATTTTCCAGTTTTTTTTCGCGAAAAAACTCATCATCGTGTTACTGGGGTCAAAATATACTACCCCTAAAACTATTTGCACTAATTGAATACTCACCCTGTATAAGTCCGAATTTTGTCCGGATTTCATAGCTAACTCCAAAAATTTTTATGGAAAACTTGAATTTATTGAAAAAATCCTAGATGTTTCGCACTGAAAATAAAAATAAAAGTTCTTTTTAGTAAGCTAGTACTGCGCAGAATCACACTGCGTAGATGCACATGCATTATTTGTAGATGTAAACGTATGATTGCCCCTTTGATTACTCTTAATATGATATTTTTAAAATAATACAAAACACAAACGTTGGTGTAGAATAAAATAGTTTAATATTAATAATAATATTAAAAACTTATCGTTATTTGAGATTGAAATATCAAAAACACAAATACGAATATACTAAACTTATCTTTCGTTTTCCCTATTCCAAAACTGGTAATAAACAGATGCAGAGAAATAGTTAAAAAGTAAAATAATAGGAGTTATGTATTATATTTCATTTGATTTGTCTGACCACGTGCCGTACATCTAATTAACAATTTAAAATAGAATTTCTTAATAGAATTAATCATCGCTAAATAGCTCGACGGATTTCCTGCTGCGAAATGTTGGTATTAAGACAAGGTCAGTCGTTGACATTGCCTGAGATAATAATTATAAAATTTCTATTATATAAATATCTTAAAAACATCTTCGATTTCTTTCAATATTACTTACTTACTTAACAATTTTTGGAATACTAACAAAATGGACACCAAACCAAACCTTCATTGAAATTTAGTTTTATAATACTATACAGGGTGCTACAAATTCGAGGTACGAGCATTGATATCTCTGAAACCGTAACAGATACGAAGATGGTTAAATTGGGGCAATGTTGCGCCTTGAGATGTTCACCAAGATGCCATAAAAAAGCTTTAAAAATTTTAAGGATTGCTGAGTTTTTTGGAAAATCAATTTTATTTTTTCCTGTCGTTACTTTTTAGAAAATAACAAAACTAATTGCACATTCTCGTAGCCACTTTATTAGGGCTATCTGATAGTATTTTTAGATTTTCAAATTAGCTGACAATTTGGGAGAGACAGAGGCCAACTTAATTTTTTTAAATATGGACCTGCATTTTTTATTTCAGTTTTTGAAATAACTCGGTCTTCTGAATACAATGATATGCCACACTTTATACTTTTTTTGGTTTCGGATACCTTAACAGCAACAAAACTATTTGTTACAAAACTATTGTGTTCAAATCAAAACAAAAAAAATATTAATTGTATATTATTGTACTCGGGAGACTGAGTTCTTTCAAAATCTGAAATAAAAAATGCAGGTCCGTATTTAAAAAAAACTAAGTTCACCTCTGTATCTCAAAAATTATCAACTAGTAGTATGCAAATTTTACTCTCAATAAAAGCGCTTTTAGTTATGATTAGCTATTCAATATCATAGCGAATAGAATTTACTAGAATATGAGTATGATAAATTATATGGTATTCGAAATAATATGCAAATATTAACGTAGCCTCGAGACTGTTTATGTTCATAAATGTTTGCATTACAATAATTCATTTTATTTACTCGTTTCTCATGTTCTAGAACCAGCAAGTCGAGCTTGACTTGTTGGAAGGGCGAGTTGCTGAAATCAGCAAACAGGCTGATGATCGCAACAGGAGTGATATCGAAGCGCAATCGAGCCAGGTAAGCAAATGTTCTCACATGTAATAATACCAATACTCTGATAATAAGGGAATGATAACAGAAAAAAAAACATTATTACTCAGAAAACTACCTGTACGAGTTTATCTCAAAAATGTTGAATATTTTATATACCTACTACTGATTACAGTAAGTGTGTGATAATCTTGATAACAGGTAGATTATTGTAATTTGCAGTTCAATATCTCTAAAAATTATACTACTTTTTTCTATGCAAGAAAAACAATGTACCTTAATGACTTAAAAATCGTTAAGCTACATTCAGAAGCTTGAAATTAATGGTTTAAATATACTTTATACTTCTTAGTTTACGATCATTCGCAACTCATACAAAAACACTATTAAAATTAATAGAATATCCTAGCAATGATAAGTAGCGTGCGATAGTTAGTTGTATCCATAGAGAAAGCCTAATAATTATCTTATAAAACAATATACTTTTGATTTCTATCCTCAATTTCTCTTGACGGATAATAATCCAAGGCCAAAAAGGCCTTAAGCACGCCTTCACCTTGATGTTCATGCATCCGTTATCCGATGATACGATAATAATTTTATTGGTTGAATTTAAAGACTTCGTTTGGTTAGAAAATCTCGCAGTTTTTAAATTTATTACATTTTTATGCCTCCGTTCATCGGATGTACGATTTAGTGGAAAAAGTAAAAAGTTTCTTAACTTTTTCTGAAAATTACTACTAAGTTTACATACTACTATGCTTAGCTGACATTGAAATTAAAGCAACTCAATAATAATTTTTCCACTTGTAGCGAACTTAATAATTTTCTTATTGTCTTTCTATTTTTTATTTACTAATAAAACTAAATATAAAACTTAATATAAGAAAAATATATATTATATGAAAGATTATATATGTAATATAAGAACCTTAACATTTCGTTTGCAGGTTACGAAAGAATGGTCCGATCTGGTTGCCAACCTAGAAGGACGAAAGGATATTTTGGCTAAGTTGGCAGGAGTGTGGGATACCTTCGAAGGCCAATCGCAGGCCTTCGAAAGCCTTCTATCAGGAATCGAAGAAAGAGCTAAACATATCGATCAAGTAGTGAGAAACAAGGACCACGTACTAACAACCAAAAAGGATGTTGAGGTATGAATAAATTTTACTTTAATTTGGAGCTTTTAATCCTTTCATACTTATGCTATCTCTACCTCCTTCTCTTTCCACCTATTTCACGTTTCATTATTCAGTGTGTCCCATCCATCTCAGTCTTTGTGCTCTTGCTACTCCCGTTATACTCGGTGCCCGATATAGTTGCTTTAATTCTTCATTTGTTCTTCTGGTCCGTATATTGTCTATCTTCTTTCCTCCAAAAATCTTCCTCTATATTTTTCTTTCTCAAACCTCTAGCCTCGAACTTTCCGTTGCATTAAACGTCCACGTTTCACATGCATACACTATTGGTCGTATCATTGTTTGGTACATTCGGATTTTAAACCTCTACTACAGATGTTTTTACTCTTACTGACCTAACACCCTGTACTTCAAAATAAAGTATACCGGGTGTTGCATCGTCGAGCGGGACATAGGAAATCCCATGTAAATTTTAATGGGGTCAATTATTGGCTTCCCTAATTATTTTAGAGAATAATTCTATTTAGGTTTATTGAGGAGCACTAAAACCCACATTCAAAAGAATAACTTTAGATATTTTTGATTAGCCCGTTTACGAGTTATCGCCGATTTCTTTTTAAATATTTCTCCTTTCTTATGGCTCTGTATTTACTTATGAGCACCAGTCAAGGTAAAAGATAACTGTCAAATGAAGTTGTCATTTCAGAAATTTATCTATTTAGTGCTTTATTATTATTATTAAAAACTCATACCTACGAAATATCGAAAATATTAGCCATGAATTACACTACCGAAGAAAAAGTATTAATGATTAAATGGTATTATCAAGGAAATAGTTATCAAAAGGTGTCGGACATGTTTGCTGCTCTGTATCCGAATAGACCGATACCTGGAAAATCTACCTACAATCGCAAGGAATATCCAGAAATTTGAGACCAAAAAAAGGTACCCTAATAAATAACTGCCGATGTGAAGCAAGGCAGGAACAAAGAGAAGATGCAAGAAATGATACCGACTTGGAAGTTTTATTGTGCGTGAAAGAGAACGGTGGAAAGATCAGCACAAGGAAACTTGAGGATGAAATAGGAATAGATCACATTACAGCGTTTCCAAATTTGAAACGACATAAATACTATTCCTTCAAATATGAAAAGCACCAAGAGCTACGAGATGGGGACGAAATACGGCGGCACGCGTTTTGTTTTGATATGATGGAAAGAGCAAACAGAGATAGGGATTTTTAAAAACATATGTTTCACTGACTAATGCACGTTTACTTTTATATAATGAACCCAATGTTCAAAATTATCGATATTGGAACAAAGAAAACCAACACAGGTTTGTCGAAACAAGGACGCAATATCCACAGAAAGTAAATGTTTGGGCAGGGATATTCGGACACAATATTATTGGGCCATTATTTCTTACGCGAAATTTAAATGCAGAATATTATTTGGAACTACTCGAAAATCATATTTTACCTGCTTTACATGATGCCGCTAGGGAAAATCAGGAAGTTTGGTACCAAATGGATGGCTGCCCGGCACATAGTACCCTGGCTGTTCGGGAATATTTAGACAATAATTTTAACGGAAACGTTATTGGCCTAAATCATACAGTAAATTGGTCAGCAAGGTTTCCTGATATTTCGCCAAATGATTTCTTTCTCTGGGGCCATTTAAAAAACAGGACATACAAGGATAAAAAATACCCAAATCTAGACGAGTTAAAAATGCTATTTCTACCGAATGCAATAGAATTTCAGTTTACCCCCTAGCGTAAGAAGAGAATTTTATGATCGCCTGGGTTATTGTCTAACAGTCGATGGAGGAATATTTGAACATCTTCTTAAATCCTAAAGTTCTAACAATTTAATAGTACCTAAATTAATAAGTTATTGAATATTGTAATAATACTATAATTAACCTTGTAATTGATTACTTTATTTTACTTTAATTCATATTAGCTTGTATTTATAAATACATCTTTAAGATTTCCGATGTAGGAATGAGTTTTCAATAATAATAAAGCACTAAATAGGTAAATTTCTGAAATGACCCTAGGAAATGACAACTTCATTTGACAGTTATCTTTTACCTTGACTGGTGCTCATAAGTAAATACAGGGCCATAAGAAAGGAGAAATATTTAAAAAGAAATCGGCGATAACTCGTAAACGAGCTCATCAAAAATATCTAAAGTTACTCTTTTGAATGTGGGTTTTAGTGCCCTTCAATAAACCTAAATAGAATTATTCTCTAAAATAATTAGGGAAGCCAATAATTGACCCCATTAAAATTTACATGGGATTTCCTATGTCCCGTCCGACGATGCAACACCCGGTATATATATATATATGTCACTGTAAATGTCCGAAATGCGGTAAAACCTAGGATAAGCGCACTAAACCTAGGATTTACCAAAAGCAAGTGGTAAAAGCTCGAAAACTTCTTTGTTTTGCTTCCATTTCGGACTTTTACCGGACCCAAACAGTAAATCTTAGGATTTACCACACCGCATTGGTAAAAGTACGAATTATTTTTCTTATAACAGCAATATCGACAAATTAAGGATGTCGATATACAAAGACTGTAGATTGTTACTGTAAATGGCCGAAATGCGGTAAAACCTAGGATAAGCCCCCTAAACCTAGGATTTACCAAAAGCATTAACTAATTAAGTTAGCCTGGTTATTTGAAGGGTGTTAATGCATTGGTTAGCCTGGTTATTTGGGGGTGTTAATGCATTGGTTAGGTGGTTATTTGGATGGTGTTAATGCATTCGTTAACCTGGTTATTTGGGGGGTCTTAATGCATTGGTTAAGTGGTTATTTGGTGGGGTTGGTTGGTTTTTACTACCACTTGCTTATTCGTACTTTTACCAATGCGGTGTGGTAAATTCTAAGATTTACTGTTTGGGCCCGGTAAAAGTCCGAAATGGAAGCAAAATAAATAGTTTTCGGGCTTTTACCACATGCTTTTGGTAAATCCTATGTTTAGCGCGCTTATTCTAGGTTTTACCGCATTTCGGACATTTACAGTAACATATACAATTCTTTTCTAATTCACTTTATACTGAATACTTCCATTTCATTAGCTAAATTTAGCGTTTTCGTATATTTTATTTATATTTACCTAAAATGATCGTGCCTTATCAAGATCCACTGACAACAAATACATTGAAAATTCCCACAGAAGTTCTGATAAGGTATAAATTTAATTAAAAGTCATAAAAATGCACATACACTCCTGATAAGATAAAGATCCACCGTATTGTTTTATCACTTTCATTTAAAAATATACTCGGGATAGTGCAGGTATTTGAAAAGGGTGACGGCATAATTTTATATAAAATTATTTCTTAGGATTTGCAAGCGGAGGGTGTGGCATTGGAAGTGCAAAGAAACCAAGTTACTGAACTGTCAAAGGTAGTACTTACGTTCTTGGAAGAATGTTCCCCTCCATCTGCTTCCGTGCTCAAGAAGAAGTTGGAACAATTAAACCAGTCCTACAAAAAGTGAGTATACTTGTTTGAGAGTTCTACTGGTTGACAAATTGTTTGTGTTTTTTGGAATTAAAAATATGTTTTTACAAAATAGACCCTGATATAGTAGGTTAGACGTTTATGGAAAACCGGCCATTATATTTTTTTGGAAAATTTGGATTTCTACGTAAAGGCACCTCCTACTCCGTCTATCTAAATTATTTTCAGCTTCAAGCTTGTGCCTTTTTATTTCAAAAAGTCGTAGCAGCTTTTTTATTTTAAATAGAGTACCCGGTATATTATTACATATTATTTTTGGAAAGTACTTTCACATCTCATAATTTTTCTATTAGTATCTCTTATAATAAAAGTGAAAAATTGACAGAAACATGTTTCTAAACAAGTATTGGTAAAATTAATAATTAAACGTATATTGAAAATTGAAATTTGTATATCGGATGGCGTCTCAAAAGTGGCTCACCTCTATAACTTTTTTATTTTTTCAGAAAAAAAAAACCAGATTTGGTATCTTAGTATATGACATAAATTAGGTTGATTGACGTATTGAATTGTTTTTGATCACTTCCAGTTTCAACCTAACCTAACCATATCAATCAATCCTAAAGCTACATTCGAAATCAATTCGCTGGCCGAGTGGCACTTCGACGTTAAAGTCGGCACGAAATTAACCATTCACAACAAATTTCAATTCGAATTTTGCGCATGCGTGTTTAAACGTTCTCCTGACATTTTTTAGGTTAGTTGTTGGTTTTGATTTTGGAAGAGTCAAAATCCAGGACAGTTGTTAATTAAGTTTTCCAAGTTTTTATGTTTAGAAAAATGGAAACAAAAACGTCATTTATTGATGATTTTTTTCTAAAATGTGTCTGAAGCACCCAAAACTTTTTCTCGCCATTAATATAGGTCGGACACCCCATTTTTTGGGTTTTGGTAAACCCCTTGGTTTTCGGTCAAGGTAATTATTGAGCTGCAACAATAATTGCCGTTTTTTTAACAGCAAAGCCACAAGTCCTAATAAAATAAGAATAGCGTCTTTCACTCATTTTTCTTTTAATAATTATTTACTTTTCACAGGAAAATGGCTTGTAACAACGACACAAACAAAATAATTATTAAAATTTAAATGTCAAATTTGTCATAATTGTCAAACGAAAATTCCATGCTGAAGTGGAAGTTTGCAGCTTGCAAGCTTTCAATCCAACTTCAACTTGCACTCTGGCGTCGAATTTTGTTGTGAATGAGTACACTGAAGTACATAAGATAAGCTTGCGTGCCAAAGTACGACTCGGCCAGCGAATTGATTTAGAATGTAGCTTAATTTGTTATATTCTACCATACCAAATCTTTTATCTGAAAAAATAAAATGAGTTATAGAGGTAAGCAACTTTTGAGACGCACCCGGTATATAAAGTTTGAATATTTGTCAAGGTAACGATTTTCTTTAAACGAAACCACTGTTTTTCGGACATCTTTGTAATTACTTTTGCACAGTAGATGATTTGGGCCTATGAATGGCACTGATGAACCATGTTTTTATTGTACCCATTGTGATTTTTGTACCCCGGTATGAATAAATGGTATTTTTGTAGTAGAAAAATTGTTTTAAATATATTTCCAAATCGTTGACTAACTCGGAATTTACCAAGTAAAGAGAACATCATATTTTTGACCTTAGAAGTAAATCAATATGATAAGTACCTAAATCAATTTCAATTATTCATTCAAAATATTTAACTTGTATTTTTTATGTTTTTCTCTTACTTTTTAGCTGATTTTAGATTTTGTTAATCGTATAACTATCTAATCTGTTGTTTTCGACTACTCTATCAGATTGATTTTTATAAAATTTGTACCTAAATTAGAATAAAGTATTACAAGTTTTTGGTACTTACCCTAAGTTATACAATATAATTTTATAAGTCTGTGATAAAGTATATTTACCCTAAAGTACTTATCCTAAGTTTACCCTATATAAACAAGGGTTATACAATATAATTATAAAAGTCTATGATGAAAGTATATTTTGTATGATACCAGAAAAACAATTCGACAGGAAATTATATGAGAATTTTAAAAAGTGTCAAAGTCCAAGCCCGCTTGATCATAAAGTTTTTTGAAAACTTAAAAATGAAAAACTTAAAAAGAAACAAAGAATATAGAAAAAGAATACAGAAAATTTTATACAGAAAAGAGTACAGAAAAACAAAAGAATATAGAAAATTTAAAAACTTTAGTTATGAAGTATTTTCTTCTGTTAAGTATATTTTTTATTTTCATACTATTTATTCAATGTAATTGTGTGTATGCTATTATCGGTTATGTGGTCTTCTTAATAAATACACAGGATGTGATAAATATAGAGAATGAACTGTATAAATAATAAAAAATACATTATTTTCAGAATCCCGGCTAATGCTCGGTAACAATAAAATAAAATTACACATGCGGTGGACTTTAAAAAAAGAATGATCTAAAATAATTTTTAACCAGATGTCTCGCAAACCGTTTTTGATTTTTTATACGTATAAAACAAATGAAGCTTCCTTTGATATAATAACCAATAATAGGCTAAATATTATGCAAACTACTATAATATAACGTGTGAAAGATAGGAACCTTCGAATTCTTTTTTAAAATTCTAATGTTATAGATGTGTATTTGGCCTAAAGCCAAAATGTAGTCACGTTTTCGTAGGGTTTTAATAGACGTTATGCATCTTTACACCGATCTACGAAATCTTATTTTAGGATCGGGGACCACCGAATTATACATGATCCGTTTGAAAATAAAATTTAAATTCGATTAAACAGAAATTTAGGAATCATTCTCGAAAATAATCTGCTGACATTCAAAATACGGTTGTATATAATTACATGGTTTGAAAAAAATCTAAATTTATATATTATTGGGGTTTAAATAATGCTAAATTTATACAAACTGGATATTTATGGATAGTAAATAGAGATCTGCACGGGCCGGGTAGCCCGAACGGGCCTCAGGCCAGGCCCGGCCCGAACACGGGCCACGGGCCGGGCCGGTTTCGCACTGTCAATAGGGGTCGGGCCTCGGGCCGGGCCGGTTCCGCACTTTAAATAAACACAACTTTGCTTCTGTACATGTTTTTGAGACACCCTGTATTATGGTGTTTTTAGGCTATGCTTTTTGTGAAATTGATAGATTGTCTGGAATCGACAAAGAACTACTTGGAATAATTGTAATTGAAAGGATTTTTGTAATTTTATTTTGATCATTTTATTTTAATGGTTCGGGCCGGGCCGGACTAGTTTAAGTTTTAACTTTCCACAAACCGGGCCGGGCTTACAAAACCTACTTCTCTTCTCGGGCCGGGCCGGGTCGGGCTACAAAAAACCGGCCCGTGCAGGTCTCTAATAGTAAACTGTTGAATTTGAGAATTTTAAAATCACTGTTAGCTTCAAACTCAGTTTTTTTAACTAAATGAATAATTTAATATAATCTAATTAAGCTATTCAAGATTATTAAGAAACTATGGTTTCTGGTTTTAATTAATAGTTTATAGATAAAACAAAATCGTGTTTTTTTTTAAAGAATTATGCATAAATATACAACAGGGATGTAATTATGAAAAAGTATACAGGATGAGTCTTAAATAAATGCAACTATTCTTAGGGGTAACATATTTTGACACTAGAAACACGTCTGTGTTTTTTTTTCACGAAAAATGTTTAGTTAAAAAGAAAGATATCTTAATATTATGGCAACATAGGTAGTAGATTAAATTTACAAGAAAGAAACACACAGAAAAAAGCCAGTGGTTTTTAAAATTTAAGCACGAAATCATATTTTTTTAATTTTCGAAGTAAAAAACATAGTTATTTTGAACTTATTTGAAAATCGGTAAAGAGAAAATATGTTTCTTTTATCGAGATCTACAAGCCCCGAAAATATTTGCACTTATTTAAGACTCACCCGGTAAATTTTCTGTAGAAGCATATATTTATACAGGGTATAAATAAGTAAGCCAGAAAAATTTCTGGTTGTCATTCAAGAATAATATAGATTTTTCTAAATATACCATTCACTTCCTTCATTTTTTCGCATTTATTTATTTACAGCCTGTATAAAAATAGGTCAGATTAGATCATCTTAACCGAGAATATTATGTCTAGGACATCTGCTTGTATCTGCTATTATTTTTATATTAATGCTCCTTTTTGAACAGAAAATCAGGCTGTGGGGTAATTCTTAATTTATCAAAATAGACGAGGAATTTCTAAAATATTTTGCGAGTTGCTCACATTACACATACCTACACAAAATTTCTAATAAATCGATACTTAGCGTGATCTTCCAACTATTTTCATATTACAACCTAATTTATTATTTTCCTGATTTAAAAATTGCAAAAACGATAAAGTAGGCTTAGAATTTCAAGTGAGAAATTAAAAAGGTATTTTTAAGGTAACATGAAGGGAGAATCGGATGATTTTAAGAATCGAATAGCTTTTGAGAATCAAATACAATTCGAATACTTTTCAGAAACGAATACCTTTCGAATCTTTTTGAATTATTTTTTTTTCATGGAGGAAAATCTGCAAGCCAGACGTTTTTTTGATGGCAGTGTCGCATGTCGGGGTGACTAACTGCCTTGGCACATACAGGGTCCGGCAATATTTTATATTAAATATACAATGGAAAAAAAAACAAAGGATGTACTTCGAAAAATTTTAACTTCTCTAGGATCGCTCAAAAATGCGTGAGTGGATCGGGATGATTTTTTTTAAATGGAACACCCTGTATATTATTGCATTTTTGGCTTCTTTCAGATAACTTTACATAATCCGAAGATATAAGTAAATACATAAATATATATTTCGATAGTTTCAGAGATATTAATAAATAAATAAAAAATATATATTTTTCAGCCTTTCTGAAAAATATTATTAAAAATACAAGAATTGTCCTGAAATCAAAACTATATTAGATATTTACTTCAGATGGTCTGTACTTGCTATAAATATGGTATTCGTAAA